GCTCGCGTGCGTGTGTGTCCGATCTAAGGTCATCGCTGGAGCACAGCCCAGTGAAGGCATATGACCTTGGAGGCAGTCCGTTGTTGACAAAGGAGTCATTGTGGCAGTCGGCGGCAGGCACGACCTCTCAGGAGAGCCTGCAAATGTTGCTTCATTCCTAACAGTCGTTACTTGTCATACGAATGCAGTAATAACTTTTTCCTATAAATACTGCAACTTCCTGTGCATGTATCACCTATTTTTGCTATCATTTTCTGCTCATGTCTCTGATGAATAATCCACGATAGATGTTGTCCCAGCGATCGATTCTTCTTTGCACTTAACTGGACCCCACCCTTGGCCATCTTGACGCCGTCTTGCAATCAGAGTTTTGTGAGAGCAGTAGGTGCTGCAAGCGTCTACCTCACTAATGCATGCGCAATTCAAGTAGGCTGCATTCTCACTGTGGTGCACACGACGGGCGTCGCTCATGACGGCCGATTTCTCAGTATGCTTCGCGTACTAATGCTACCCAAATCAGTACACGTTGTAGTAACTAATGTTATCCTGATGGGTACAAACACAATGGCAATACCTCTGTAAAAGTCGCAGGTTTCCCCTAAAGTATCTTCAGGAGGTTTCAGAGTAAACATAAACAGTCATAACTCAATTAAGTTTCCAAAATTCCTTTGAATTTCTCTAATTGTCTTAAATAGAATACAAACGAGTAAATACAAACCAGGGGGCACTTCTAAACTAAACTATCCGCGGTAATCAGACTGAGAAAATTGCTACAACGTATTTTTAGTTTATTAGGAAGTATTTAGTGCATTGTAACCGCTTTAACTTAATGAGATAGTAAAAAGGACCATTCTAACATTTTTTTTCTAAAAGACAGAAGTAAATTGCCTCTTGCTACGGCAATGGAAAACAAATTGTTTTATGGATACAACACCACAAAAACAGCAACGTCATTAGCAACATAAAAAAGATCCTAGTCAGGAGTTTGTGCAGCATATGCGCATTTATTAATCCCACGCCATCTGTTAAGAGTTGTGTTAGCGAAGACATAAAACTTGGTCGAGCTTCGTGAACGCTGCCAAACGCTGTTCAGCAAAAAAAACTTGACACACACACACACACACACACACCGAGTTTTGAATCCATTTTCAGCGATTCCGCCCTTTCCATCTCTCCAT